AGGGGTATCCTTTTAACTGAACAAGTTATTTATCAGGCGTTTGATATAGCTACTTATATACAGAGTGCAAAGTACTACTTTTCAGTTAGAAAAACATTTTTAAATCATGGACCGAATCAGGGGCTTCCTTAGCAGATGCGGGGCCTGGAGCAAAACATTTTTGCGAGACCTTTTTTGACAGTGGTCTACTCCAAATTTTTTCTAAAATTCTCGTGCAAAAAAAGTGTTTTTAGCATTTTTGATGAAGTCATCTTACCTCAAAACATGCCAATTATTTACGTAATTTTTTTTTTCATCTGACAGGGTTGACTCTATTTATTTTTCAGTGTACAATATTTCACTGTGTGTAAATAATTATTCTCAATCATTGAGATAAGATGGAAATATGACTTATGCTATGGTCTAAACTCTTCCATTTTATTTTGTTAAGCAATGAATCATTAGGAAAATTATAATAAAATTTAGGTCTACCAGGAAATAAATAAATTGTATAAGAATTATATATATTTTTTATAGTGAATAAGCAATCATAAATAAGCACATATTATTAGAAAATATTCATATTATTTGCACATACCATTATTTGTTTGAAATTCTTATGTGAAAATCTCAAATATTGTTTATACTTTTGCTCGGCAGATTCTGGCATAGGCTCATCTTCTCCCTCGAACTCAAACTTTTTTTATTTATTTATTTATCAGTCTGACTTCTTTGAACTTTGGCACTACATCCAGATTTTCTGAGTTTTTATTATTATTTCTTGTAGATACCTACCATTGGAGAAACCATCCTATCATAATTTGCCGCCATGTAATTAATCTGTTTTTTAATGTACACAGTGGAACACAAAAGATGACTTTTAACTTGTTTCATTTCGTTCCAAGTATCATTAGACTTTGTACAACAAATTATTCTGTTTATTAAAAACATGAAGTCCAGTTTCGACATTTCAGTGCTCGTATTTACAGCAAAACTCGCTAGACGATTGCGTGATCAAACTGCGCGAGCAAGTTCACCAATTTGGATCAATTGCAAATCATGTCTGGCTGCGGAATAAACTTGAACTTGAACCGCCATCACCACTCGGCTGGACTGCTTCGTTTTTATTTTAGTTTCTGAAAGGATCAGGTTGTTAATTTATTATTTAAATAGCAACCTGCCATGACGACTTTCGGTCTGTTGTGCTGCCATCTAACAACTGTTATGTAATTGAGTGAGTTCTACGGACAACAATGGTTGTTGTTATTTATTAAAGAAGAGCGGAACTGCTATTTGTCTAGTCGTTTCGAAAATGTGAATTTTTTGTTCGTGGTGCCCTTCGGACTCAAAATGTCATACTGGGATATAGGTTTCTAAACGACGATACTGGAAAGGGATTTTTAAAACAACTCTTGGGGGATATCCTGTTCAAGCCGAATCGCAATGTTGCTTCCCTTCAGTAAGTACACTAATCAAAATTAGAAGCTGCAGTTTCAGATCCAAATAAAATTACAATTTCTCTACATCTCTAGATTAATTTTTGACTCAATTTAAAAATCCCGTATCTCTCCCACTTTCTCTCTAGCCGTTTAGCGAATATCCGAGTGTCATCCTTTCACACACGGTTGACCAAATCAACTGATCTCCATCTTCAACGCTTCCCAGGGCACCATTGAAGATTGTTATCAATTCCTACAGAATTTGGTCTAATTATCTCACTGGTGATCTGCTATGACTTCTTATTCCTTGAACAACGGATATAATCAACCAAGTTATTTCCTCTCCTGGCCATTCGTTCGAAGATTTCTAAGGTTCCTCGAGATGATGTTTTAGATAATACTGAATACTAGCTAACAATTTTGTTCTCCTTCGTCGTTCGCTTATTTATTCCCTCCTTTCGCCCTGACTTTGTTTGATATCTGAGCAACTTGTCAGTGAACTACAATAATTTAACTGAGAGCAAAACATAATAAAGATAATACCATGTAGTTCAGCAGCCAATTTTTGACAGAATATGAAATAACCAAATGAGGCCTCATACAAAACGTTTAAGTCCTGTAGACTCTCAGGGAAGGACTAGCTCTAAGTAATATTACCAAAAAATTTCAGACTATGACAATGATCCTTTTTGAAAGCCTATTCCTGATGCAGGAAAAAATGTACTCGAGTCGGTCACCTTTAAAATGCACCGTTTTTATCAGAAACTCTCTTGTTTCAGTACCGTTTTATCAATTATAATCCAATATACTGTTTCCGATATTTTAAAAATACAATATTTCTGATAAGATTTGTAGTCAACGAACTAAAGGGCCCAATGTTATACAGGATCCGTCAGAAAGAACGCATCTTTTTCGAATGGGCTGGTCCCGTGTCGGGGGGGAAGGGCGTGTTGGATAATGGGAGAAGTGGCGTTTCAGTTGGCAAGATGGTTTGGACCGTTGAGCATCGTGTGTTCACTGTACTTGGGTACTTTCAAAATGGCGAGTCTGTCGTTCGAACGCAACGTGAGCTTCGCGTTCACTTTCGTGTTCCACGACGTTGGACAGTACCAGACCGTAACACCATTTTGAGATGAGTGGAAGCATCCAACACAACAGGTAATGTGATGAAGAAAAAACCGCCAGGGCGAAACCGTACTGTTAGAACCCCCGAAAACGTAGACAGAGTGAGAGTTGACACGCTGCAAAGCCCGAATCGTTCCGTCCGTTTGCATGCCAGTTCCCTAGGGATCCACGCGTCCTCTGTACGTCGCATCTTGAAGAAGGATTTAGTGTTCCATACTTACAAAATCTAAGTTTGTAAACAACTGTTGCCAGGGCATTATGCACAACGTGTTAATGTTGCACAGCTCGTGATTTACCACTTGGATAATAATGACATGACGTTGTTTATGAGTGATGAAGCACATTTTCATTTACATGGATATGTTAATAAACAAAATTATATCGAATTCAAAATCTTCATGATCTGGGTTTTCAGATTTATTATTTGTTATTTTATATTGTTATAACAACTACAGTTTTTAACGCCAAGATCCGTTTCAAGATTACTTGCTTTTGCAGCCGTGCTAACACAAATTTGATTTTGAAATCACCTGAAAGTTAGGCTTTTGTAATATTTCTAATTTAAGATTTTGGCCTATAAATGGAATATTATCTGTTAGGCAATAAAAGCTATAAATAAGCCTTATTGAAACAGGGACACATTTTCTGTAGTTGGAGTCTTGCTTTGCAATATGAGGACTAAGTGCATTGACCAGCAACTCAAAACCTTCACACGATATACGAGTAAAATTTTTAAATCCACTTAAGGGGTCTACTTTTATTTCTTCTACAAATCTATTCGTTTCTTCATTCCATCGCTGCAGAAAAGGCCTCACCCAACATCGTGGTTTTCTTCTTCGTTTCTGTTTAAGCAGACTACCTATTAAAACACAAGCTGCAGCACAAAACACTACGTATTCCCGCCCATCCATATTAAGGACTGAAGTTAGTGAGAACTTTGCTTGGTAAACATGTTCGTGCACAAGTGTGCTACACTGTACGCTTACAAAAGTTATGCACTGCTTTGCCGGTGGACACAGAAGATAAATTCGATACCAGTGAGCACATTCAATGCTGGAATTTCACACAAAATGTTTGTGAACAAATGTGCTAAACACTATTTTGGTGGAATCGTACCATTACATTCACATGCTGAACAGCTTTTTTTCCGGAACTTCAACGTCGACGTGTCCGTCTCAGAACAGTGTGGTTCCAACATGATGGGGCAACATCTCACACGGCTCGCACTTCGATGGAACTTTTTCGGCAAAAAATCCCAGGACGTCTCATTTCTCGTCATGGCGATATTCCATGGCCCCCTCACTCCCCGGACCTGTCACCGTATGATTTTTTTATGGGGATACCTGAAATCAAATTTACTGGCTCAAGGCCGCCATATGGCCGACATAGTTTTTAGAACATAATTTTGTTTTACTCAAAAAATGGCATGTATTTCTGAGTATTTCGATATAGCAAAATATTTTCCCCATACTTATTTTGACTGTACTACTCATTTAAAAAACATTCGTTCTTTCTGACGGACCCTGTACATTTTCCGATAGCTTGAAAATGTTTTGGGTTTTTGTTGAACTTTTTGGAGATCGGCAGTAGTGTGAAATGATACAGTATTAAGACTGTTTTTCTCAAAAACGGCTCATTTCGTGAATATCAAACTTGTAAATTTATTCACCCAAATAATTAGGCATTCCAAACTTATCATTGTTGAGATATTATTATACACGGCATAACAATTCGCTGAATTATACTGTGCTCTTCGAAACTCATTTGAGAAGAAGTGATTTGCAGTGGCTGCCTGTAAGGTCTTTCCCTGTGGAATCTTGTCACACTACTTTTTGTGTGCCACATTGCTTCCAAAAGATAACCGCGTCTATTGGCACATACTGTATGTGTGTATATTTAAAGGAACTTAATTTTTTTGATTGATAGGGAAATGCTTCCGGTACGCTTCTCCTTCTGCTTATCTGGACTCAGCGCTAGTGATGTAAAATAATTAAGTAACGCTTACAAAATAATCGTTACAAATGAGTAACTAAATGTAACGAGTCCTACTTTTTGAAAAGACTCGTTACTTTTTATTTGAATTCGTTACTTTGAATGCGATACGGTCTTTTTCTATGTATACTTTTTAATTACTGTTAGTTACTACACTATACATTACTTTAGATACAAACGTTACTGGGATCTAATGTAGCCAGTACTGCCAGCGCCAGCAGCAAGTGACTTGGTTCTTGGATGTAAACTGGGTGGAAATGAAATGATGCGAATATCGTTAGGCTTAGGCAACTTTAGATACTCTTCTATCAAACGAGTTGCGGACTACGGAGCTTTAGGTTGGCAATGTTTGTGTACACCTGTACACTTTTCATTTGACTTTGAGAGCTACCGGTTGGCGGGTTGTTACTGGTTTGGACGTTGCCGTACAAGCTCGAGCAATAATATTATTATTTGTACAAAAATATGGAATCACCCGCGTCCGGTTCAGGAGAATCGCAAACTCAAAGAAGAAGTGTTATTTGGATGCATTTCACCAATATATCGGAAGCTAATGCAAAGTCTAATCTTTGTAAAAATATTTATTCGCATAAAAATGGAAACATTGGCAATTTAAGGAAGCATTTGAAAACTAAACATCCGACTCTTTCATTGGAAGGAGAAAGGGCAAAACGGCGGGTGGAAGACGAAAATATGCCTAGGTGCAAAAGGAACTTAGTTTCAGGTATGTTTTATTATTATAAGTATTTTGTTGAACACCATTTACAGTGGAGTAACCAGACTGTTAAGTAGGGCAGGGGAGTAACCAGACTGTTAGGCCAGGGGACGCTACTCAACTAAAGTAAAGAGTGAGGAGAGTGGTTCCTCCACAGTCCCCATCTGGTTATGCCACTTGTTAAATACTCGTACTATTTACAGCGTACAGCCAACGAACCAGACGTCACACAACGACGAGTTTAAAATATAAGTACCTTCTACGTATCAAATATCAAAAAAATTAATAGGCATTAGACAAAAAATAATAATTGGATCAATCCCAAAGTAATAATTTGATATAATATATAGAATGTAGGTTCTAAACGAAATGTCCAAATAGTAACTAAACTAACGAGTCCAAAGTTCGAAAGTAACGAGTCCTTACAAGTCCTAAAAAGTAACGAAACTTTGCATCACTACTCAGCGCCAGGCGTAACGGGCTTCTTGATTGTTCTGCCCGTACGGCGGCGGCGCTGCCGCGTCTAACGATATGGGAAGGAGCAACGTTGCCAGGTGGACGGTAACTACCGGTAGAGAAATAATGTCTATGAACTAATCCTTTATGAACTGATGACGGAGTTGTTTAGGTTGTGCACTCAATCTACTTGACGCTATTGTTAACTACGAGTAAAAGCATACACCTGTTTATAACTGAAATTATTGTTGTTCATTATATTTGCATCCCGTCATTTTGACAGCTTGAAGGTCCCAGGATACCTGATAAATTTTAATATTTGAAAATGGGGGAAAACGAATGATCAGTGATATAATGATATAGGGATATAAATGTTCGGTCACCCCTCCACCAAGGTATGTACTGTAATATTTGACTGTAAGGCATCCGTGCTTAAAGCTGTTTCACAATTCTAGGACGAGTAAAAAATTAAAGTGCGAACAGAGATAAGATAAAATAAACCATTAACTCTGGGATCTTCCTGTATATGGCTGAGTAATCGGTAGGCGTGAGCCTCCATTTTGATTTATGTATCAGTGAATAAGCCGCAAATGAAATAATTACTCCGGAGTGAGCTTGCATTGAAAAAATAGTCATTCTGCCCACAACGGTTCTGTAAAACGCTAAAATGTTTAGAATCTGCACGCCTACAGTTACAATCCTACGTGCATCGAACATAAAAGTGAAATTGTTGTTACTATTTAAAAAATATCCACATAACGGACAGATAAAATTGAATAGTAAATTCCATGACTTCATAGAGAACCGTTTCTAGGAAGTAGGAATACACTAATCTTTGGAAAAATTGTTGCACCAGATGGCGGAATATTTCGTGATCTTAGTCTCGCTTTTGGAAAACTAATTTGCATATACAGTAATAACACACGTAATTTAGTTTCGCCCTTTGGGTTCAACTTTTTATTTCTAGGGATAAATTTTTGGAGAAGGTATGTTTTCAGGATACTCGTCATTTAAACTTCTTGCTTGTGAATTAGATTAGGCTAACTAGCCAACAGTATAACCTGTTTCTGAAAAAAAGCTAAGGAGATTTTATGATGGAATTGCATTTGTTTGGGGTAAATGAAGAACCAACAGTTTGCTGGATAACATTTTTCATTAAACCTCCATGTTGGAAAGATTAATTTTTGCGTATGTTGAAAAAGTAGAAAGTATCAGGATGAGAAAAAATATTCGCTTTTCAAACTTATATTTTCCGCAAAGTGCTTATTGGTGAATCCAAACGTCTGTAAAAAATGCTCAACAAACTGTTCCTGTGAAGTTAATGGATGCTTTCAATGAGCTGTCCAACGACGGGGACGTATCCATATCAGTTCAACTAACATGTAAGCTCTCATATCAACGTTCCTTTTTAATACACACGGGGCATGATATGTCAAGCCTCGTGGTACAATACAAAAGTATCCCAGCAAAATCTTTTATATCTCTGAATGAGGAACATTTATATCCATCAGGAAGATTATTTAGCTACAAGCTATTCCACCACTTAGCCGTTGAAACAGCTCTAGAATATTGAAAACAATTTTAACAAAATATTATTTCAACATTTTAATGAAAATGACAGATAAAATGCAGCACACACATGTATGTACAAAAATACAAAGGATTTATGTGGTATGCAGACATAATATGAAGAGAATTGTAGATAATTTGTTTAATATGCTTTTTGAAATAATTAAATTCCAAATGTTTAGTCGACGGTAATGAATTATATAGATTGATCACATTATAGTTTAAGCATTTATAAAATAATGAAATTTTGTAAAGGGGCATAGCTAAAGTGTCATTGGATCGATACTCCATGAGCGGATTTACTTACGTGATACCAATTTCTTTTTAAAAAATGGAGCAGCCGAAGTATGTAGGAGTTTGTGAACATAACAATATAAATGAAATTTATACAACTTTGCAATATCCAACCAATTCAGCTGTTCGAATCATGGACTAATACGATCATAGTTTTTTGAATTGAAAATCAATCAGCCACTTGAATTTTGTTTTTGTTGTAGACGCTTCGCTGAAACTGTATCTAGAAATTTTTATAGTATCTATAATCGCAGTATGTTATCTTTAGCTTTACTAAAGATTCACATAAATATTTTTTTTGCTTTAAAATCAGGTAGGTATTTCTTTATTCAAGTACAAGTGCCGTAGAAAAGTAAAACAATTTTTAGTTACATGTTTGGTTCGGATAGTAAGACCGTTTAAGGATTTAGGCCCGTATCGTCAGTCGTCCCTACAATTGTAGGGCGCCTTTATGGCCTCCTTGATTGTCATAGTTTTCTACTTCTCCGTGTCAGCGCTATATTTTGAGGTTATGTCACAAACATCTATTTGCATCAAATTGTGCAGCCTGAAATTTCCTACAATTTAAAAAGAAAACATATCTTTACTCTTTACTCTAACATAGGAAAGCGCTGACGCTGACATGGGACAAGTGTAATCTAGAAATTTTTGAAGGAGAGAAAGGAGTATGAGAATCAAGGAGGCCATAAACGCGCCATACAATTTTAGGGACGACTGACGATATGGGCCTAAGAGGGATTCAACCGGAGACTATGTTCTGTTGCATAATTTTCAATAGAATTTATTTCCCCTATTATTTGTGCTTCTGAAATTTCTAAATGGATTCAGTGTATCTATGGTATGCGTAAAATGGATACTAGATGAAAGATAAAATTACGTGTCGCCGGTCACACCAAAGCACGTTTCAGTTGATTTATACGCAAAAGGATTATGGTTCACCAGATAGACCATTGTATGTGAAAACACGACGTTTGTTTTTGGGTTTATTGTATGCAAAATCAGGAAGTCTAGTTAAATGGAGAGATTTTTTAGCGAGGTTGATTGCACATGACTGGTACTCGGTCAACCGTGCTGTTAGGTACAGTGACACAATAGGTAGAGCCGCTAAGTGGATTGCTAAATAATCAGACATCGTTATATCGGTGGCGTACTGAATACCACACTCATATAAAAAGCTGAATGAACGCAGCAGCGTCTTTTCACAGGGCTTTTGTCGGGTAGGTCACAATATCATAGGAATCACCCAAACAGATCGACCAATGGTACCATGTGCGTACTGCCCAAGCCAAGCCGTAACGCAGCTGCTACTCGCTCTTGAACACACACATGAATTGGGTGTCAGAGGACCGTTGTTTTCACTCACCCTCTGAAAATACTTCTATAAATTTAATTCAGACTGAGGACTTTGTAGTTGTATCTTTAGGCATTGATTGCTATGTTTTATGTCAAGATCAATAAAATCTTAACCCACATCGCAAGCCCATGACAAGCAAGTTGTCATACAAGCATATATGTTACAGATTTTGACGATAAAACATACATTTTTGAGTTTACACAACCAACAAAACCTCTTACTAAACAGATCTGTAATTTTACTGATGATCCAGTAATGTTTGAGATTCCGTACTCTTTTCATTATCCTCACAACGCGTTCAGTACTACTTTTAACTGCAAAGCTTGTTCATTGTATTGATGATAGTACGCTCAAAAGTTTTTCTACTCATCGGAAAGTTTCTTAGCACGAGATACCCAGTTGGGGAAAATACTGTCAAGAACACAAATATACGAATACTTTTTTTTATAACTCACCTTCTGCAAGTTTCTTATAGCTTTTAAATATTTACGTTACGCCACTGTAACTAAGTAACGTAGAATACTAATTTGAGCGCTGAGAAGACCTTGCATTCCGTTTAGATACAGTGTGATACATACTCGTAGATAATTTGTCACACAGTTCACTATGTTATGCAAACAGGTTAAGAATAACGACAAAACAAACAAGATTGACTAATATAATAGGTGGGATTATGAATGAATACCACACTGACATTTGTGCATACACCATTAATGAGTCCCATGCTCAGTAGCCTTTTCATGTCACTATTTTCCTTGAACAGTTTGGAATTCAGGACAATGTTTGTATATAAAAAATACAACTGACAGACATTTCTGCTTTACTTTCCTTTGAACTGAAAAAGTTTCCAAAAGATCTTTGTGAGTGGTTCTTGAAGAAACTTGAAGATTGGAGCGAAACTCCTCCTAGATTTAAGATAGAAACATCAAGTAGTTGTAAACAGTCTCTCAAAGAGAGCTAGGATATCTGTTTGCAGCTAGAAAGTAATTACTGCCTCTTAACCTCCTCAGTCTATACGCCTATACAAGGTCCTGACACTATTCCGTCTTAAATCCGGAGAGGGGCTCACACAACCCAAAAATCAAACAAAATTAAAAAAAACAACCCCCCGCTATTTAATTTGTTTTTTCGAGGTAAATTATACCCAGAGGCCAACACGGGTTAAGATGGCCCTTCCCACACCAACACCCGCTTTGGAATATCATGTCTGGGGTGTGGAAGCCCTTAAGAGGTTGTCCACGCTTGCTTAATGCAGGTCAGGGGAGGCCTGCATGACTGACTTCCTTTGAGCTGCCCTACAAGACGCTGGCGCATTATATCCCTGCAAGGCAGACGCGTGTGGCTTTTGCTTTTCACTCTAGCATGCTCAAGCTCGGTACATCTAAAGCTGGTCAGTACAATCATTTATTTGTTTTTAAGGTATAGCGAATGCGAAACAATCTGACAGAGAAGATAATACAAACTTTAGACAGTTCAGAAATCGGAGCAAGATATCATTTACTGTTTTTGATGGTTGCGGTACTTCGGTTTTAAGTCTCTCAGAGCCCGAACACACTGTTCTTGGTTAATTCACATTGCGACACTACATCTTAACCATAGCCATGTAATCATCACAACCCCAAGGTACACTCTGATTTGCGCACTCTGGATTGAATTCGCTGTTTTCATGCTGTACCCCTCTAAGGTAGCTTCGACATATTTGCGTTTAGCCTTAGAACGCCGCACCTGATTCCTGAAGTCCGGTCATATGCTTGAGGCTCAATGCGCTGGAAAGGTATTGCTCGAAAAATAAGGTGCCCTTAGGATGTGGTTACCAGCTACCGTATGTGGAGGCAGGTAGTGCCACTATTCGCGAACTACTCATCAGTGACAGAGTCATAGTTATTTTTCACACACCATAATACCAAGCTTCTCAGTAAGCCCATATCAGTCTGTTTGCTTCCCATCATCTGTCTCCAAATGATTAGACATTTACCGCACTGACGATTACTCAAAAGCATTAAACAACGTTGTATACGGTTGCCTATGGTAGCAAATAAAATATATCCTATTCAGCCTAGCGTTATAGGTCTCTTCAGTAATTTTACCAGTAAGACTTTCACAAACCTTGATGTTGGGATTATACAGGACTCAGTGATCCGTCCTACACAATATTTCCTATATGTAACATTAAATTCAAAGTAACTGCTTTTTTTGCGGATGAGACTCTGTGTTAATATATTCTGGGCTGAATGAAGAAGAAAATTCAAAGTAATGTTAAAACAGTTCTCCCTAATTACTAAGCCTAGCTTTGCTATAACAAATTAAGCATTAATATTGAAAATTAATATTCACGGTACATAGACAAAAAGGAAAACAAAATATAAATCCAGTGATTAAATCAAACAATATAAAGGGTTGTCCAATATCGACGCAATTTTTGATTAAGTAATAAAACAATGAATTTCAAGTGGAATGAATATAACATATATTTAAAATGATAGATACATGTATGGTAATTTAAGAAAATTATGTGTGGAAAATGATAACTTGCAAATGACCGCCCCGTGATAAGTTGCAAATAATAATAATAATAATAATAATAATAATAATAATAATAATAATAATAACGCCTTTATTGACTGCATTCTTTTGTTAAAATTCCCGATGACACCGTCACATAATTGCGGCTCTGTCTCAGCGATTACATGGGTTATTTCCTCTTTCAATGCTTCAATCGTCTGGGGATTGTTGCACGCACGTACGAGCTGGCCAGTTGACTGGTGCGTTTCTGGATATAACTTTAGCGTTAAATTAAGTGCTGTTTATTCTATATGTCAATGATATGTCCAATGTCCTTGGCAATTATTTTATTAATTTGTTTTGCGGATGATACATTAATTTCAGTTATTCAGTAAGTAACGAAGTTGTAGATGTAATAGATATGCCAGTGAAAGTTGAGGGAGAGGTACTTGATTTTGAAGATAGTGTTAGGTATTTAGGTATTATAATAGATCAGCAACTAACTTTCAACAAACATGTTAACTATATGTCTCGCAAATTAGGCAAAAAGATCGGGTATTTTCGTAGAATTTGTGAGAATCTAAGTCCCTGGTGCAGAAGGGTAGTATACATTACAATAATTTTTCCTCATTTTACTTATTGTGCATTACTTTTGATTACATGCACAAATGAGCAAAAGCAAAGGTTGCAAATTCTATTAAATAAATGTATGCGGATTTTGTTAAATTGCAGCAGATATACCCATATACAGGATATGTTAAGAGCATTAAATTTTTTAAACATACACCAAATTATTCAAGAGGCAAATTTAATTCTTTTATATAAAATTATCAATAATCAAGCTCCACCTTTTCTTGAATAGTTTCTAAAAAAAAGATGTGAAATGCAATTTTACGACATTAGATCAAAAGAAAATTTCCATATACAAAGATTTGGATTTAAAGGTTTAGAAAATTCAATGTTTGTTGAAGGTCTAAAAATGTACAACCATCTGCCTATTAATGTAAAAACATCTAGTAATACTAAAATTTTCAAAAAGAGACTTTGGAGAGACTATTTTGGTTTGATGTGACGACCTCTTTGTAAATTTAACATTTTTTTTGTAAGTAATATTTAAAACTAAATAAATCCTTTCTATGCTATTCTATTCTAAATGTCTTGTGCATCGATATTGTTCAGTTCAGGCCACAAAAAATCTTGTAACATTCGTCGGTAGACCATTCACAGTAACAGCGTGTCCAGCGTCATCTTCGAAGAAGTAAGGGCCAATCACTCCACCACTACAAACACCACACCAAACAGTGACTTTTGGTGGGTGTAAATCTTGTTCAACAACCACTCTTGTATTTCCCTCACCCCAAACCCAACAATTTTATTGGAAAATCCTTCTTCCTGTTGCTCAGTGAAATTAACGAATTTACGACGTTTTGCATGGTCGGTGGGCTTTAATTCTTGTGTCAATTGGATCTTAATTGCTTTTAATGCCAAATCCTTGTGTAAAATACACCAAACAGTGGTTTGTGGAAGATGCACCTGTTGTGAACAGCGTGTGAAATCGACATTCTTGGTTCATCTTGAACACTCAGCAATATTCTCTCGTGAGCGGCCTGGGCGTGAACGAATCGGTGTTTTTATTAAAACTGAACCATTCTCTTCAAATTTCCTCACCGTTCTCGATATTGTTGACTCATTTGGACGACTATGCTGTTGATAAAACTAACGTACTCGTAATTTACGAAAAACTTTTTGTTTGAACGTCCATTTTCATAGTAGAGTTGAATTATCTGCACACGTTGTTCCACGCTGTACGTATCCGTTTTATAAATTGCCAACTATAGTAGTTTACAAATGTCAATAAACTGTGAAATTTCTATTGTTAAACGTAACCTAGACAAACACTCAAAAAATTGCGCCCCTAGTGGAAACCCGTTACCTGTCACAAAAGTGGATGAATACAGATAGTTAGCGTTGACGTTAAGAAGCACGCACACATACAGAACGTTATTATTACTAAAATAGTACCTATTATACGGGCGATAAGAAAATGCTCACTTCATTTGAACACAAAAAATAGATACATATTATACAACACTTTCTCTGAACCACATTTTCGTATACCTCAACAGAATCTATTTGCAAAGCAACAAATCTGCTAATCCTGAACAAATAAAAAAATATTCAGCAAATCAAACTAATACACAAAATTAACAATAAAGACATAAAGATAAATATAGAACAGAAACAGAACTAAAAAAACACAAACTCCCTACTAATAAAACTATACAAATACGTACAATACAATACTGAGGAACTTTCTAGAAAGAAAAGGAAAAAAAGGTATTCAAAGATCAAAAAATTCACTGGAAAGAAAAGCTATAGATAGCAGCAAAACAGAATATTTTTATAAATTGTGGCTGTAGTTATTGTAATTTACTCATCTACCACCTACTTATCTTTATCGGTTTGACTTAGTTTTAGCATAACAATGTAATATGAAGGCTTTGGTGTCAGTCTTTTGTACTGTTTTAAGGTCATATCCCTCACCAATACAGATACAGTCTACATCTGTGTTTGCATAAAGCAGTGTTTTATACGGTTAGTTTTGGTCGTAGAGATGGAAAGCAAACAGATCCTATTGAGTCGAAGATATTGCAGTTTGATCCCAAAGCTGATAGGGTCGGATGGGGAACGAGCACTTCACGAAAAATAATGAAAACACACTCTAATGTTTTTGTTATGTAACTACTACCTTATCGTTAAATCAAGCTTGATTGGACGACAATGACAGTGGTAAACGACGATACCGAGCTCTTTGCCTAAACGACGCGTGTTCCTAATAAAACTTAATTTAGATAGTCCGAAAAGCACACGTGGGCTAGGACCAGTTTTTGTCTGAGGAGAAGAATGAGGATTGAAGAATATATTTTGAGCGTGGGCTGGCCACAGCCAAAAGCATACATATTTATGAGTTTTCTTTTTTCTTTCAGAGATTCCTAACATGCATAAGCGTATAAATATGTATACCGATTTCGGAGTTCTTTTTTAATTTGTTTTAAATTCCTTTGTTGCTTGTATGGTCTTGCATATATATTGTTCGAAGGCTAACAATGTGGTTGTCGCTGTAACAAATTCCGAACGCCAAATTTTCAGAATACCACAGCTGCTGGAAGATTTACGATTATGAGGGTTTAACTTCCCGTGAAATTAAAATTATTTTAGAGCTTGCACATATTTCAAAGTTTCTTGTTAATTACTTGGTACATATCTTGCTGAAAAACTAAACTCTGATGAACATAGATCACGGATGTAACAATTTACTTAACATACTGTGTCACACTGTAACGTTTATAAATTAAAAGCTCTAATGAATGCATGCATGTGTGCATGATAACAGATAAAACAGCCTATACTCAAATATTAATAACCATCAAAGTACAATGCTAGAAACAAAATATAAAGTCATTATTTAACACACCACAACATATTTTAAAAAAAGAGTCTTATCACAGATGCATCAGATTACACAATAAGTCACGAGGTACAAAACAGCGGATCAGTAATTATTTTTCGTTAAAAAATTAAGTTAAAATTGTGTTATCAACATAACATAGCTGAGTATATGGAGTGTGCAACTTTGGGTACACCAAAATTGAGGTGAGCATTTAAACATTATGTATTGTTATATTCATACCATGTTTATTTATATAGGTGTGTATTTTACAACATGTACAACTATGTATCACAGTGACTAACAGAGAGTAAAGATTTGACTGCATCAAACTATGCCAAATTACTGCGCCTCAAGGCAGAGACAACCAGTTCTTCAGAGAGAAGAAAATCACCTCTGGTTTACCACCACACGTCTTCTCTTAAGCTCCAGAATAGAATTCGGCCTGACATTTGAGAGGCCTGCATGTAAAGTGCTATTATATGTAAAGCTATAAAGACTGATCGAAGAGGGCATTGTGATTGAATAACTTCTGTTGTTTTGTTCTGTCTGAAAGGCTGTCGGTCTGCTTATGTCTGAAACATGCAGGGTCCTCCAAAATCCCTGGAACGGGAAGAT